TACCGTTCTTCGACCGCTGAACGATGGGCAGCTTTTCCACCACCACCACCACCATGTGTAGGACGGGGGAAAATAAGGGAGGATGAGGAGGCCCTCCTCCTCCTTCTCCTCCTCCGAGCCTGGGGCCCGAAGCTGGGCGAGGGAGCGCCCGGCTGGAAAGAGTGGCGGCGCCCGGATCTCAGGACCTCGCTCTTCGAGGGTCCATCGGTAGAAAGCCCATGGCTTCTGCCTGTCGGGGCCCTCTTGGGAGGCCTCTCTCGGGGCATCTCGGAGGCTTCTTGGGCCGTCTGGGGGCCAAGCTGCAGCGTCGTGGAGCGATCGCTCGGCGAGCCGCGCAGTGCAAGACGCTGGGAGCCCAGGGCCCTCTGGGCAGGTGGATCTCTCGGGCTCTCCGCCGCCTCGGGCGGTGCGCGCTGCGAGCAGGAACGCAGCAAAGCCACAGGAAAGCGCGGCATTGACAGTGCAGCTCCGCACACGTGACAAATCGAATGGGGGCACCACCAGCGCGCGGCGGCAGCGGACAGCTCTCGCTGGGCCCCAGAATTTAGCTTCCTCAGAAGCCCCCACGAGGCCCCGAGGGAGGTGCCCCCAAGGAACCGCCAGGAAGCCCCAGGAGGCTCCCAAAAGGCTCCCAAGACACACGCCTCACACATCGTGGGGCTTCTTGGGCACCTCTTGGGGGCCTCGTGGAGCCTCTTGGGTACTCTTGGGAGCACCTGATCCCGACTTTCCCGAATGCCTCTTCCATCGTGGGGGTCGTCGTCCACGGTCGCGGCAGGCCGTAAGGCCTCAGCAACAGCGCTTCCTCCGTGCACGCTACAGTCAACCCGTATAATTAGGACGCGCGAAAAAAGAATGCAAGGGCCTTGCAAGGCCATGTCGACACTTTGCGAGCGGGGCGCGGCCAACGAAAGCGGCCAAGGATGGGCTGAAGGGGGAGGATGCAAGGGTGACCGTGGAAAGCTGCTCAACAATACTATGCGGGCTGGCTGTATCCCTGTGGGGCGCCCCCCCCTTGCGGGGGATCCTTCCGTGCACGCTGCCTCCCCCCCCCCACCCACACCGCCAGGGCTGCCTCCGGGCACGCCGTCCCCCTATACATCAGGGATAGCGCGTACGTGCGCCATTGCTCGGAGTTAACAGAAAAATCAACGCTAAGGAAATAGACGTCACTCCAAGCGCTTCTTGGCGCTATTACACGACATCGGGAGTCCATGGAAGTTGCTGCTGTTTCTTGAGATCCCAGATGGGAGCAATACACTCGAACCTGGGCCAAGAAATCATCCCTCAAGAACATGAGACCCTCCGCCTGCCAAAATGCACAAAGCATCCAAGGGTACCCTCCCCAGGGTGCACAAGAACATCCAACAAGCGCGAACACCACTAGGGTACCCTCCCCGAGCCGACCTTGATCTTATACCCTGGTCCGACTGTAGGATAGCGAAGGGGAGGGTAGAGAATCAGGTCACCAAAACAAGCAGAACACCCAAGGGTACCCTTGCCAGGGTGCATGCGAACATCCAACGAGCGCGAAGAACACTGTGGTACCCTCCCCGAACCGACCTCGACCTTATACCCTGGTCCGGATGATGATGATGATGATGATGATGATGAGGAGGAGGAGGAGGAGGAGGAGGAGGAGGAGGAGGAGGAGGAGGAGGAGGAGGCTGAGGAGAAGGACGGGGAGGAGGAGGAGGAGGAGGAGGAGGAGGAGGAGGCGGAAAAGGAGGAGGAGGAGGTGGATGGGGGAGGAGGAGGCGGAGGAGGAGGAGGAGGACAAGCTAGGTGGGCTCGCGTCATATCTGACATCCTACCCCTCCCTCCCATCCCTTACCATGGCGCAGATCCCCTCTCTACTCGCACAGTCGGATGTCAAGCAGGGCGATGATCCCGAAAGGGTGCGCGATGCATTGTAGAGCACGGCGTGGCATGGCGTAGAGGGGTACCGCGAAGCGTAATATCGACCTGGCATTGCATTGCATGCCGTGGCATGGCACAGGAAATGACGCCAGCGCTGCAGCGGGAGCACGAGTCGAAACGAGCGGAAGCGCGGAAATGAGGCCAGCGCTGCAGCGGGAGCACGAGTCGAAACGAGCGGAAGCACGGAAATGAGGCCAGCGCTGCAGCGGGAGCACGATTCGGCACGAGCGGGGCCCGAAAATGAGGCCGGGCCAGCATTTTGCGAAAAATTGCAGGCGAAAACCTAACTCCGGGGAAGGCTTCCCGGGCGCCAGAAGCAGAAATTCAGCTTTTTCACAAGAAAAATTGTATTGGAATAGCCTTTTTTCGGCGCCGCCTCGGAACTCGATTTTCCGGCGCCGGCCGGAACCGGCTCCGGACCCGGTTCGGGCGCCGGCCCGGGCGCCGGCTCGGGCGTCCGGCCCGGGCGCCGGCTCGGGCGCCGGCCTGGGCGTCGGAATCGGCCCGGGAGGCCTCCCGGGCGCTGGACCAAGAAATTCAGCATTTTCAAAAGAAAAATGTGTATTAGAATTGCCTTATGAGGAGGAGGAGGAGGAGGAGGGAGGAGGAGGAGGAGGAGGAGGAGGAGGAGGAGGAGGAGGAGGAGGAGGAGGACGACGACTGTCCAGCAGGCGGGGGGCGCGAGCAAGGATGGGCTGCTCTGGCCGCAGCGGGCTTCGGCCACGCACGGGCCCCCTGCTCCTTGGCGGGGCTCGAGCTCTGTCGTGCTTTTCGTCTTCGTTTCGTGTTTTGTGCTCCTCGCTCTGCCTTCGCCCCGCCCTTGATGGGCGCATTTTCCACCACCACTACCACCATCAGTTGGAAGGGGGGGTTCTTCTTCTTCTTCTTCTCCTCCTCCTCCTCCTCCTCCTCCTCCTCCTCCTCCTCCTCCTCGTCCTCCTCCTTTCCCCCTCCATCTCATGGTGGTGGTGGTGGTGAAAAGCAGGCTCATCAGCCCTTGCTGCACAACGGAAAAAATCAAGACGACCACGCTCCGCGGACCTGCCGTGGCACCGCTCCGCTCGAGCCCTCGGAGCCGGGGCCCGAGGAGCGGCCCGGGCACCAGAGCCGCTCCCGAGCCCAAAGGGGGCCCTTTTTCCCCACATGTTTCGTGGGGTTCTGGTTTTCATCCCTGCCGCGTCGCACCCGCGTCCCTCACTCACCTCCTCCTCCTCCTCCTCCTCCTCCTCCTCCTCCTCCTCCCTCCTCCCCCTCCTCCTCCTCCTCCTCCTCCTCCTCCTCTTCCTTCTCCTCTTCACACAACGCAGCACAGCTCAGCACAGCGCAGCTTAGCTCAGGACAGCACTGCACACAGCACATTGACACACAACACAGCACAGCACAGCACTGCTCAGCACAGCTCAGCTCAGCTCAGCTCAGCAAAGCACAGCACTGCTCAGCGCAGCTCAGCTCAGCTCAGCACAACACAGCACAGCACAACTCAGCTCAGCGTAGGTCCAGGGCACAGCAGGCATGGCCTTCTCTCGGCACCATAATGGGGTGCGCAGGGGGTGGTCTCCCTATGCGCGCCTCCCGTCTAGGGCACAACAGGCGTGGCATTCTCTCGACCCCATAGGGGGGGTGCACAAGGGGTGGTCTCCCTATGCGCGCCTCTCGGCCAGGGCACAGCAAGCGTGGCATTCTCTCGACCCCATAGGGAGTGCGCAGGGGGTGGTCTCCCTATGCGCGCTTCTCGTCCAGGGCACAACAAGCGTGGCATTCTCGACCCCACAGGGGGTGCGCAGGGGGTGGCACAGCAGGCGTGGCATGCTCGCGACCCCATGGGGGGGGGCGCAGGGGGTGGTCTCCCTATGTGCGCCTCTCGTTTTGGGCACAGCAGGCGTGGCATTCTCTCGATCCCATAATGGGGTGCGCGGGGGGTGGTCTCCCTATGCGCGCCTCCGGCCCAGGGCACAACATGCGTGTCATTCTCTCGACCCCTATACGGGGTGCGCAGGGGGTGGTCCCCCTATGCGCGCCTCACATCCAGGGCGCAGCAGGCGTGGCATTCTCTCGGCCCCATAATGGGGTGCGCAGGGGATGGTTTCCCTATGCGCGCCTCTCGTCCAGGGCACAGCAGGCGTGGCATGTTCTCGACACCATAGGGGGTGCGCAGGGGGTGGTGTCCCTATGCGCGCGTCTCGTCTAGGGCACAACAGGCGTGGCTTTCTCTCGACCCCATAACGGGGTGCGCAGGGGGTGGTCTCCCTATGCGCGCCTCTCGGCCAAGGCACAGCAAGCGTGGCATTCTCTCGACCTCACAGGGGGTGCGCAGGTGCGCAGGGGGTGCACAGCAGGCGTGGAACTTGCTCGACCCCACACGGGGTGCGCAAGGGGTAATTCCGCTATGCGCGCCTCTCGTCCAGGGCACAACAGGCGTGGCATTCCCTCGCCCCAAATATGCATAGGGGGTGCGCAGGGGGTGGTCCCGCTACGCGCGCCTCTCGTCCAGGGCACAGCAGGCGTGGAGTTTTCTCGACCTCATGGGGGGTGCGCAGGGGGGGGTCCCGCTACGCGTGCCTCTCGTCCAGGGCACAGCAGGCGTGGCATGCTCGCGACCCCATAGGGGGGTGCGCAGGGGGTGGTCTCCCTATGCGCGCCTCTCGTCTAGGGCAAAGCAGGCGTGGCATTCTCTCGACCCCATAGAGGGTGCGCAGGGGGTGGTCTCCCTATGCGCGCCTCTCGACGGTAGCAGCAGGGTAGCGGCTGCGAGCGTTGTCCACAGGTTGCACGTCAGCTGTGCGAACACAAGTGATTAAACGAATTATGTGGGGTTCCTCGGTAGCGTAATTGTTCAGCGTCCCGACGGGGCCCAAAGTGGGCCCTTTTTTCAGGAGGGGGAGGAGGAGGAGGCGGAGGAGGAGGAGGGGGAGGAGGAGGGGGAAGAGGAAGGGGAGGAGGAGGAGGAGGAGGAGGAGGAGGAGGAGGAAGAAGAGGGGGAACAGGAGGTGGATGAGAGGGATCCACCCTGGAGGGCAGAGGAGCCAACCTCAGAATCAGCACCATCTGCGAGCGAAAGCCTGCCAGCGAGCGCGCCCGAAAGGGGAGATCGAACAGGGCGGAGCCGTTCCGAAAAAAACGCCCAGGGCTGTCCAGTGAACGCCAGTTTGGGGGTAGGGGTGGCTTATATCCCTTGGCACTCTGCCTCCCCCTTGCTCCTCCTGGGTGTTTCCCTCATCATGCTTCCTCGGCATCCTGAAACCCGCTGTCATTCAGGCCGCTCGCGTTGGGACCCGAAGAGGAGGAGGCCACTTACGAGGCGCACCCGGGCAAACTCTGCACATGCGGGAAGGGCGCGGGCGAGCGAAAGCGGTTGGCCGAAAGCGTGGTCCGCGTGCTCCGTCAAGACTGCTGCCGCCTCAAAAGCTGATTTGCCACTTGGAAACGCGCTGAGCTTCAAACATATTGATGCGAACTGGCAGGAGTTGCCAACCATGGTTGGTACGTCGGAAGCGCCCGCCTGCCGAAACATACGCCCACCGGCTGCGGGTACAAAAGCAGAAGAAACACATAAGTCGTATGGCGATCCGCTCTGGGCGGCCTAATGACCACGCAGGCGATGTCGCCGACGGTATGGCTGGCTCGGAATGTCCGGGGAGGAGAGAGCTGGGCGAGAAAAAGCAGACACTGGAAGGACCCAACAAGAGACGGCCAGAACAGCAGAAGAGCGACGAGGAACTTTGATGATCGCCCGTCCCAGTTCCCGCCAGCTGTGTAATTATGTGTGTGGGTGGATGCGTGGATGTGTGTGTGTGTGTGGTTGTGTGTGTGTGTCTGTATGTGTGTCTGTGTGCGCCTGTTTGTGTGTCTGTGTGTTTGCGTGTGTGTGTGTGTGTGTGTGTGTGTGGAGTCTGTTGTGTATGTTGTGTATGTGTGTATGTGTGTATGTGTGTATGTGTGTATGTGTCTCTGTGTCTGTGTGTCTCTGTGTCTCTGTGTCTCTGTGTCTCTGTGCCTCTGTGTCTCTGTGTCTCTGCGTCTGTGTCTCTGTGTCTGTGTCTCTGTGTGTCTGTGTGTCTGTGTGACTGTGTGTCTGTGTGTCCGTGTATATGTGTGTCTCTGTGTCTGTGTGTCTGTGTGCGTCTGTGTGTCGGTGTCTCTGTATCTCTGTGTCTCTGTGTCTCAGTGTCTGTGTGTCTGTGTGTCTGTGTGTCTGTGTGTCTGTGTGTCTGTGTGTCTGTGTGTCTCTGTGTCTCTGTGTCTCTGTGTCTATGTGTCTGTGTGTCTGTGTGTCTGTGTGTGTCTCTGTGTCTCTGTGTCTGTGTGTCTCTGTGTCTGTGTCTGTGTGTCTGTGTGTCTGTGTGTCTGTGTGCCTGTGTGTCTGTGTTTGTGTGTCTGTGTGTCTGTGTGCCTGTGTGTCTGTGTGTCTGTGTGTCTGTGTGTCTGTGTGTCTGTATGTCTGTGTGTCTGTGTGTCTGTGTGTCTGTGTGTCTCTGTGTCTGTGTGTCTTTGTGTCTGTGTGTCTGTGTGTCTCTGTGTCTCTGTGTATGTGTGTCTGTGTCTCTGTGTCTCTGTGCTTCTCTGTGCTTCTCTGTGCTTTTCTGTGCTTCTCTGTGTCTCTCTGTGTCTCTCTGTGTCTCTCTGTGTCTCTCTGTGTCTCTCGGTGTCTCTCTGTGTCTTTCAATGTCTCCGTGTCTCTCTGTGCCTCTCTGTGTCTCTCTGTGTTTCTCTGTGTCTCTCTGTGTCTCTCTGTGTCTGTCTGTGTCTCTCTGTCTCTCTGTGTCTCTCTGTGCCTCTCTGTGTCTCTCTGCGTTTTTCTGTGTCTGTCTGTGTATGTATGTGTCTGTCTGTGTCTCTATGTGTCTCTCTGTGTCTCTCCGTGTCTGTCTGTGTCTGTCCGTGTCTGCCTGTGTCTGTCTGTGTCTGTCTGTGTCTGTCTGTGTTTGTGTGTCTGTGTGTCTGTGTGTGCGTGTGTCTGTGTCTCCGTGTGTCTGTGTCTCTGTGTCTTTGTGTTTTTGTGTCTCTGTGTCTGGGTGTCTGTGTGTGCGTGTGTCTGTGTGTGTCTGTGTGTGTCTGTGTGCCTGTGTGTCTGTGTGTCTGTGTGTCTGTGTGTCTGCGTGTCTGTGTGTCGGTGTGTCTGTGTGTGTCCGTGTGTCTGTGTGTGTCTGTGTGTGTGTGTCTGTATGTGTCTGTGTGTGTCTGTGTGTGTGTCTGGGTGTCTGTGTGTGTCTGCGTGTGTCTGTGTCTGCGTGTGTCTGTGTGTGTCTGTGTGTGTCTGTGTGTGTCTGTGTCTGTGTGTGTCTGTGTGTCTGTCTGTGTGAATGTGTGTGTGTGTCTGTTGACGCGGGGCCTATAAAGGCTAAAAAGAAGCCCACAAATGGCCCAGGCCCCATTGAGCGGCCAAAGCCACAAGGGGCCATCCCAAGACAGGGGGCGGGCCACAAGGGATCCCGAGAGCCCAGACGAGCCGCAGAAGCAGCCACCAGGGCACATCGTCCCCGAGGCACCGCTCGGCCTGCCAGCTCGGGCCCCCGTCGAGGGGCATCAGCGCGAAGCGCTGGAATATATACAACAGTTGCAGACACGCGACGGGCGAAGCCCCAAACATGCTTGCACATTCCCAAGTGGCGCGGCGAGGCAGGCGAGGCGCAGAAAGCTTCACGCCACCACGCCGAGGCCCGCGGCCACTAGGGGTCCAAAACGGACGGGCAGACAGGAGACGGACGCAGAGGGAGGACAGGAGGAGAGACAGGCAGGCGCTCCACAGCCAGGAGCGTCCACGGCTCGGCACACGCACGGTCACGCGAGCCGGGCGCCCCAAGGCTGCGGCCAGTGCGCACTCAGTCTCCTCCATCTCCGTCATCTCTGCGCCGCTTCCTGCTGTGGCGTTCACGACGGGCCTCGTCGGCCTCCTCGGCCCAGCTCAGCAGGCTCTCCTCATCGAGGCCGCAAGCTCCCAGCCAGGCCTGCCGCGATCCCGCCCCCGCCGCGGCGCCTCCAGCTGCAGCGGGCATCTCGGTCGAGGAGGAGGCCGCAGCGCCAGCGCCGCCCCCGGCAGCGTCTGCCACCGAGGCGCTGCCCTCGACGCCTGCTGGGGCATCGGGCTGGACCCCGAGCCACTTCAGGAAGCGCACCCTGGCGTCCTGCGGCACCACGGCCTCCTTGCGCAGGCGGGGGGCCTCCGCCCCCTTTCTCCGCGTGTCGCGGGCGTGCGGCGTGCCCCCAGGGTGGAGGCCACGCTCCCACCGCGACTTCTGGTAACGCAGCGACCTGGGGAGGCCCGTTGCGCCAGGACAGCGCCCCCTGAGCTTGGGCTGCGGGCCAGGGCGTCCGCCAAGCCTCGCATGCGCTCCGCACCTGGTGCACGCAATGATCTCCTGCTGGTTGCCGTCCTCGCCGCACCTGGCGCACGCGAGGGCGCGCCCTGCGACGGCGAAGACCAGGGCGCCCAGCGCTACACCTCCGTCGCGCGCCGCCGAGGCCCAGGCGCCGACAGCGGCGGGGCGGCTGCCAGCCTGCACCCCGCGGGCCCCCACGGCGGCGAGCGGGGCGCCCGACCCGCTCACGGGGGCCGCCCGCGGGCCGTCAGCACCCCCCCCCAGCGGGGCCGCAAAGGTGACAGCAGTCCTCCGCTCGTCGCTCTCAGGAAGGCCCTCGCAGTCCTTGGAGTCCCTGTCCTGCCAGACGATCGAGGCCTGCGCGATCCACCTGGAGAGCTCTCTCACGACCTCCATCGCGCCGGAGAACTCCCGCCTGGCCGCCGCGCTGACCCTGTGGAGGGCCGCCCCCGCCTTCGCCAGCCTGTCGGCGTGGGCGTTCCCAAGCAACTGAAACTCCGAGATCCTGCCCTCGCGAACATCAATCTCGGCGCAGTGGGCCGCCACCTTGTTCACAATGAGCGAGTCGACGTCCAGCGAGGCGTAGACGGCCGACCGCAGGTGTGCATTGGGCTTGTTGGCAGCTGTCGCATACTTCCTGCCGAGCTTCAAGCAGCTGACTGTGGACGCACAGTCGATGTTGATCTCGATGGTCGAAGGCCCGAGGTAGCGGCTCAGCATCCAGACCGCGAAGTCCTCGCCGTCCTTCGCCGTCTGGAAGGGGCACAGGTCGAGGCGGACCGTGCCGTGCACCGCCGCCTCCAAGTTGCCGAACTCGTCGCACTGCACGATACTCCAGCCAGCCCAGCGGATGCACTCGACTCAGGGTCGAGCGCCGAGCCGCCGAGGAAAAGGCGACCACCTAGCAGCCCGTCGGCAGGCCTGTTCACCCACATGACTGCCATCGCGTCCGACCTGCAGGCCGTCTGGGGGGGCTGCGGCAGCCAGCACCTGGAGAAGCACTCCCCCGCTTCCTCACCTCGCTGCCTCACTCGATTGGCGCAGCGAAGGAGGCGGGCTGACACCGAGTCCCTCCTCACAGCGGCCAGGGCTTGGCACTCGAAGAGCCTGTGCCAGGGGCTGCCTCGCTCTTCGCCGCAGGCGCAGCAGCGAGGGTGGCCCCGCTCACTAGCCGCGAAGAGGCGAGTCTGCGGCCAGTGGGCGTTGGACAGGTAGCTCACCACCGCGGCCTTCTCCCTGCTGCTGAACCTGCCGCGCGGCCCGATGACCTGGCCGAGCGCGTCCCAAAACAAGGGCATGGAGGGGGCGGCTCCGTGCCCAAGCCGCGTCATCTCAGCTCTGTCGGAGGCCCTGCGGGCACCTGCCGCAGCCAGCAGCCCGAGCTCACGGGGGCCCATGATCAGCATGTCCAATGTGTGGCCGTCGTCGGTGCGCAGGATGTGCCCAGCCGCGAGGCGCCGCCCAACCCGCAACAAAGAGAGGGTCAGGGCGTCGACTGGGTTCTTGCAGTTCACCCAGGGCACCCTGGCGCTGTCGTGCCTGCGCTCGGCCTCCTCCAGGCAGGTAGCGAACATCCTCAGGGGCACCTCGCCCGTCTGGAGGAGGCTGGCTGCCACCTGCACCGCGGCACGTGCCAGGGCCGGGCTCGGGTCCAGGTCGGTGGAGCGCTGCACCTCGATCGCCCTGAGCCTCAGTCCCAGGGAGGCGCCCTTGGGAAGCCCCCCTGCCGAGCGCGCAGCCGCCAGGCGCCAGGAGTGAAGCTCGCCATCGGGCACCCCTGTGACCGACCTGCCCCACAGCATGGCGGCGGTTGGGCCTGCGCGACGCATGTGCACCACCGCGGCCCCCGCCGAGCCCAAGGTTCTCAGCCGCCTGGCGCGGGAGAGGCCTCCCACAGCGCGGGCGCCTCCCTCATGGACTCCTCTGCGGGCCACGTTGGCGTCGGTGCCCAGGTTGCGGGCCTGGGAGCCACGCTTGACCTCGAAGCCGAGGGCGGCACAGCTGGCGGCGAGGCCGTCCGCCACCTGTGCAGACGAGGCCAGGAAGACGGACTTGCCCTCATTGAGCGGGAGGCGGTGGGCCCGCAGGTGTCGCAGCACCTCCCCGCTGGCCCCCGCGAGCTGGCCCACGACCAGCCTCGCCGAGCCGACAGCTTGGAGCGAGACGTCGTCCACCAAGTTGCGCAGGGTGGCAAGAGGCCGCTGAGCCCCAGCTGCGAGGAGGCCTCCAAGAAGGGGAAGCTTAGCAACAGCCGTCGCACGCGCGCAGCCCGCCAGCACTGCGCCACTGGCCCCAAAGGGGGCCGACGCCACGCCACCCGCCAGCACGATCCTCGGGGCCTGGTAGATGGCGAGGAGGCCGCGCAGCAGCTTCAGGTTGAAGCCAAAGCGCTGGGCTGACGTCCAGAGGACGTCGTGGCGCACGTGCTCGTA